CGTATCGGCCGCTGACTAAAGGTTCGCCAAGGCCACAACGTAAATCTTGGAGTTTACAGATGGTTAGCGGTGATTGGTGGATGACTTAGTGGAGTAGTTGGGGTACATGGGATTATATTCATGTGGGGTTAGGAACAGCATACTACACTTGTTAACGTCCTAAAAAATAGCACACCAGTGACTTTTCCATGCATTTATATTGCTTATCTATTTTAGTTTCACTGGAGTCATAGTCTTTTGATGTCCGTTATTTGTTCATCAAATGAGTCGGTGGGGAAATCCGAAGTGGAAGTGGGATCCTTGATCGTGTACACCGAATCGCAAAGCTCTGTCATACGTCTTAATACCAGTTTTTTCCTGTGCAACATGATCAATACTGATGCGTGCCGTCCAGTTGACGTTTTAGTGCCCTCCTCAAGGTTTTCGACTAGTGTTGGGATAACATGACAACCGTCATCAATCCTCACTTGATTCTAAGTCATATCGGTATATCAGACGAAAACCTCACGCATTGATCAGCTGCTGTGTGGAAGTTGCGACAATGATTCGTAATTGCACTCTGTACTACGCTGGTCTAAATGAGCTCAGTTAAAAGGGGTTCAGTGATTTTTTCATAGAAAAATTTCCGATTCTTCGGCATTTTTTCCCTCAGAATGGAAAATGTAACGTGATTTCCTATCCCATTCCATTATTACAGGAACTATCAAAATGGTAATGATATTACATCTGGTTGTGGAAATGTAAAATTTCAAGATGTGGGAGGAAGGTAGAACGATTTCATACCAAAGCGTATAACTTATGACTTACCTCTGTGGTCAGAACTCGAGTTCGCTGGATCGTTTTTCAAAGAGACTTCCCTACATGCGTTGCTGAGGAGAAGAAACTAGGCTAAACAGCTTAAACAGAGCAGTGTGCAAAAGGATACAGAGCGTGGCTGGTACCGGCTACAGAAGTGTGTATTAAAAATATACGTTTTCATTGCTTTCAAACTCTAACCATGACCTAAATAAATGACATCTATCTCGATCATTACACGATAACATTTCATCTACACGCTTTCAACGGGTCAAGGAAAAAATACCAAAACAAATGCATACCAACGTGATTGTTCTGTTGGATCCAAGTGGTGCAGAACAAAACTGGCAGGAGATGAGAACATGATCCAAGTTAAAATATGAACCGGGTTAGCTCCGTGATCAGATATCCGAAAACTGACAGTAGATACAATTCGAGTCAATCCTTATCTCGATACCACGGTCTCCATTGCTTTCTTTTGACGAACCGAATCATAGGACATTGATATGTTTAATATATATGAATTATTTGAATGGAGAGTAATTCGGGGAAAGCCAGGTGAATAAAAAGAATGAAAATTGAGCGGCAAATTTTACACCAACACTGTTATAATATTGAAAAATAAAAATATAGAGATAATCGTAGAGTAAAACGTTAACTCAAATAAAAAAATGATATTGATAAACAGATGCTGGAAATAGCAGGAATAAACATAGAACACTACGGTACGGTATGTGAAAAATAACACAATGATAGGAGGTCTCAGAAAAATGCAAATGTTAAGACGCAACGTACCCTCGTTGACACGAGTCAAATGCCACTTTTCCTCCAAACATTGCAAGGACTCTTGAAATTGTGAACGCATGCGTTCCAGCAGTGAGCGGACTTCATCTATACCCTCGCAATCGTCTCCACGGCTACGTAGATCAGAAGGGTGGGATGGTGAATATAAGAGCAATGGAGCAAAAAAACCACAAATCCAGTTCCCACAAATAGATGAAATATCACGATGCTTTCATAGGGCCTTATGTCGTTTGTCAGTCATACCTACTATCGGATATGTCCTAACCGGTGTCGGACTCAAGAAAAGAATGGAAGAATGCTTTATACAAACAAACCGGGAATTGCACTAGTTTAAGACCAACGGATTTCAACTCAATCTTAATTGTCTACATTGTCATTTGATATTCGATGCACTTTTTCAATCCAATTCCAAAATCCAAATAACCGTACCGTTAACGGCCAAGCTGATTAGAGAGGCCCTGAGGAGAAAACGTTGACTCTAACCTACAGCCCAACTAGAGTGATCATCTCGATCTGACTGCTTATTGACCTCCAGTTTGACTTTTCGTGATTGAATCCATCTCAACTTCTTGACACATCACTGTTAAGTTGCACATCAGATTTTTCAATCACACCGCACATTCTGTGGTTCCAGGGTTGATGAGTGATGTGACTTCCTACCCACCTAGCTCTGGTGCGATTTTGCTCTTCTGGGGGCGTCCATTCTGAGTGTGAATGTTGGGAAAGCTATCACACGGCGGAATGCACATATTTATTTCCCAATTTTTCACACCCAGTGTACAATACACTTTTGGATGGTTGGTTTATTTGTTTTACCAGCTTTTCAAGTTTGGTCATTCGTTTGCAGACTTTTCACAAGCAGTAGAAGCAACATCGTCTGTTTGTAGTGTTTTGCTTCAGTCCGTTCACTTATATAGTTTATACATTCGTTCCAGGCTACAGAATTCTCCGATCAACTCACTGTGAACAGCCACATCGAACTACAACACGTGCAGATGTCCATACTACTCACTCTAGTTCAATGGCGAACCGGAATGAGAACAAAGGGAACAAGTGACTAAAAACTGCTGAGGAGGAACAATGGATCCAGAATACCGAAGAATAATCAGTATACGTGAACGAACAAAAGCAGAACATCATTCCACGCTGTCATCTCGGTCGAAGATGAAACCTTAGCATACAAATTACCAAGCTCGGCCAACAGGCAAAACTAAATTCAGTCAACTCTAGCTATGAGCGCTAATTTTCAATATTTTGCCACGATTGGTGCATGTTTATTTCAGATCAGTCACAGCGAAAACGAAAGTTTTTACCGCTATTGATGTTCTCCCCAAATCTGGCTTCGTCATCGTTTCAAGCACAGAAAAAATGCTCAGCAATATTAGAGAGAGAGAGCAAAGAATAAATTCACTCACCAAAGGGCTCACTACTGGCCTGGAAAGTTTTTCTCGAGCTCTGTCCTCGGGTGTTTCCCAGTAGTACGAAAATCGTACCCATTTTTATTATCCGGTGATCCAAACGAACATCACCCCCACCTCCACCCGTTCTGCAGTTTTGGGACTGGTGCTAGCAAAATAAATTTGCGGTCAATCGGAAACCGTGTACGTTGCAGCGACGATATACGATACACCGCCACAGATCCATTGGTTTCTGTCATCGATTAACATATCGAGTACGGTCTGGTTTCTCCCAAGACAGTATTAGACCGGGTTCGACATGATGGGCTCTTGGCAAAACTTCTCTCGTTCGGCTTAGTGGATATCAATTCTGCTCAGCGACCGTCTGCCCTCGAGTTAATATGCTGGAAGCATGTGAATGATAACCCTGGAGAACTCCGTGTTGTATACTACGGTACTTCAACCGTATTTAATAAACAGACGTCTTTGGAGAAATTGGGTGTCGTGCTCATACTATTAGATCAGTATAAGAATGTTTGGATTAACCACAACGAGAGAAAACTAAAAAAACGATTTCCGATTGACGACGTTTCGACTCTCTTGAAAGGCCTTTCCAAGTCTTGAAAAACCTTCCTATACAAATCTAATGGTATTTTATCAACGACCATTCATCTGAAATACCACACTTACTCATGCACATGATTTCACTACCTAGTTCTTTCCGATTTTCCTGTTTCTTATGTTGTTCTTGAACTTGCATTTTGTGCTTCCGGGAGGATTTCTTACCTTCAACGCGCGAAGCGGTTTATTACTTCCGCCAAACTCCTCATTCTCAGGTGCGCTCTTCATTTCTTCTCTATTCTTTGAACCACGTTTAGTTTGAGGCCATTTACCTAATGGTTGATGTGTCTGATATCAACTATTTGCCCATCGCCATTTAGTTACCATTCCGTTCTTCTTCTACTTACAGTTGCCCGCAAGTCCCTGACACACAAGCAGTGAGTCAGTCACACCAATTATCTTGAAGGGCGATCGGTAGGTTACGTTTAAATTCTTTTTCAACAAGAATAGGTAAACTGCGCAACGCGCTTCCCTGTTATGTTCATAATTCATAGCTTGTCTACCTGCAAGCATAGAATCAACAAGTTATATCTAAGGTGAACGTTACTCTATTCCCATTGAACACCGGCATTTGTGGAGTAAGAATTATGAAGCGTACCACTTAAATGTTCTTTACTTCTGTTAGATCACAAAAGGGTTGGCAATGTTCACGTATAAGCTAAAAAAACATGTATCACACTTACGCGATTATTGGGATGGGTTGTAGAACGGTGGGTGGACGATCACAATCATCTGTGGTTAGCGTTTCTCGTTCAGTATCTGTGTTGGAATTTGGGTATTTGGTCGCATCCACTTTTAACACTAAGGTTGCAGACGATTGGGGCAGTAACTGTTGATCTCGGGAGTTGGTGTCCTCGGTGTGTCTGTCTTTGACAGTACCAATTTGATCCAGATTACTAGATACAGGTGATGCGGGTGATGGGACTGGTTCCAGGCTGTCTTGGTTACAAATCGACCGGACTGTAGACACAGGAGGGCCTTCCGATATGGTTGCAGGTTCAACAACCACGGTCTGGTTTCCATCTGGACACGGCGCAGAGTTTGAGCTACCGGAAGTGATTACTTTACGCGCATTCTTTGACAATTTGGTGTCATAGGTCCTGCAACGTAGAGATTTGCCATAAATCATGACAGCATAAACGTTGAGTGCTAAGTTCTCGATGTCCGATAAGGAAACTACATGCAGACCTATACTCCACGCACTTGTCCAGCCAGTCAGCTTAGACCACGTGGCAGTGTGTGCGTATGTGTGGTATCTGACTAGTTATTGGTTGAGCTGGTGGACTCTGGGTAGTGGTCTGACGTCCGCACTTGCATACGAGGTGAATGGACAAACAGAAATCATTTCACACAAACTAAACGTTCAGGTTTACTAAGTAGGGTGTCACAGCGACTTCTGGGGACGATTGTGCGCACGGCGGAATAAGAGTACATACGATATAACTGTCTGCATGAAAATCTGATTAGTCCATGTTTCTCATCAGTTCAAGGACGTTTGACCGAGACAATAGATCGCTGGAACAGAACAATTGTGAAAATCATCAGCAATAGTTGGTATCGATTAGTAGCTGTTCGCTCTTGTTGTTTCGTTCTCGCAAGCATTCCTCAGACCACTTAGACACAGGTTAATGCGAGCCTGTATCGATGTCCGAGGTCGGCATTCTGACATCAACGAAAGAAAGAGATACTACAAAGCACCAAATTAATTTCTCGAACTACAAAAAAGCGAACTCAAATGTAAAGGAAACCGAATTCGGTGGAATTAGAACGACGTGAGTTATACGCCAGTCAACGTTGGTCTAGTAATTCGTAAGGATTTAACAATGAGTTCTACACACCTTTCCTCCAAATCTACCTAAAACTCAACCGACCCTTCACCTCCTAGAAAAGTATGAAACTTTTATTGGGATAGAACGACGAAGTATTCGACTGTATAACAACGGCGCTTCGTCTTGTCCGACCCGTCTCCATTCGGGATAGCAAACGAACACTAAGTTACCTGAGTGCACAAATTGAAGTGGCGTCGCAATCACACTTTCTCACACAAAGCGTGCTCGTCACTGGTAAAATGCTAGTAGCATTTGATCATCATGATCACAAACCGATAACATATAATCTGCACTAAGGATCGATTCGAAGTTTCTCAAGCCACTATGGGGTTTGCAGGCGGTGAAAAAGTCTAGGATCTGAGGCTGTACTGTGAGAAGGGAAGAACATACATATGTCCTTCAATT